TTTGAATTGAACTGTCAAATATTTATTTATATTTTTATTAACATTAACTATTAGGCAACCCAAAATATACTTTAATAAATTGATTATATATTTTTGTATTTTATTTAATCAACAGTAATTATTGAGCCTATTGTCACTTAGTTAAACTCATTAAATTTATGTTGCTCTATTTTAATTTTTAGGTAGAATTTTCTAAGCATAATTGTCTTAAAAATATCGTATCGATCCGGCAAGTGAGTCATGCGCAATATCTCTAGATTGTTGTTATTTATTAATTTTTGAATGTTTTGATAAGCAAATTTCTATATAACTTTCATTAATCTCGTTAACTTTATTTATTCTATTAATTATATAAATTATTGATATTAACTTTATTTTCCTTTAATATATAACTTTTTCTTCATGTCTTTATTCAGCTCATGGTTGGCAATCCATATTTTATCAAGGGCTCGTGTTTTTATCTGGCTATTTCTTTGTTGCAAAAAAGGTTTTCGTTTTTCTTGGAACTACCTTGGTTTGGTCACTTTATGTTCAGCTAGTGTGAGGTACAGAGGCCTCTCGGTCATTTTTGTCAAGTTTTTGATTTTTACCCTTGTGGGGATTTTCGAGTGTGCCTCAAAAATTACTGCAGCATCCTATCTTACCTTTTGTTTTTTTGGACGGTGCTACGGTTTACCGGTGACGGGATTTTCACCTCAAAAAGCTGACGTGGGTCAACCAAGCAGCCCGCCTTTTTTTTATTGAGCACCCCATTCCATCCAGGGGAAGAAATAATATTAATCACCTGAGGATTCGTAGAAAACCCTGAGTTAGCAGGTAAAGCCTATTTTTTTAAATTAATACATTTCTTTCCACTTTTTTCTTCTTTAAAAAAAAACTACCTTTTTTTATGGTAGGTATCTCGTACTATGGAGAAACTATAATATTATTTCTCCGTAGGGTTTTTTTTGTCGGAGCCGAAGAGTTTTTTTGTCTGGACCGAAGAAGTTTTTTTTCGTCGGAGCCGAAGAGTTTTTGTCTGGACCGAAGAAGTTTTTTTGTCTGGGCCGAAGAAGTTTTTCTTCTGTGTTGAAGACTTCTCTCTGAGCCAGTTTTTTTGTTGGAGCAGTTTTTTCGCTGTATCCATTTTACTTTTCTGGAGGAGTTGACAGTCGACGGTTGACAGTTGACAGCCGACGGTGTCTGCCCAAGATTGATTTGATTTAGAAGATTTTCAACTATTTGGTATCGTACAATTCAATTTTTATTTTTTCCTTATCTTACGATTTGAATTTCATTGGTGCGTACGAATACTGAACGTAGATAATTTTTTTTACATTATAATTTAATTAGAATAAATTTTCACGTACTTAATTCTGTTGATAAAATAATATTTAATTTTTTTTTCCTTTAATTTTTTTTGTAAATTTAATACAGCTGATACAGTTTCTTTTTGTCTCTATTTAAAATTTAAATCTATTCATTTTTTTTATCGATATCTAAATTTCTTGAACTGATGAATTCATAATTATTAGTTGATTATTTTGATTTATTTATTTAATAATTATATTATTAATTATTATTATTAGTGAATTGGTTTAGTATTATTTATTTGATTTATTAATTTGTTGATTAATTTGATATATTAGCTGAATTTAGTTGCGCTGATATATACATATATATTTTATTTTGTAAATCTTACGTGATCACGAAGGGTACCTAGGTATTTACGTAATTTTGCTACTTGCGTATTGTGAGATATATTTTTCTTGGTGCACAATTTTTTTTATTGATTTATTTAATTTACTATTTGCTATTTGGTATTTTCTATTTACTGTTGCCTATATTTTCCTTTTATATTTCAATAGAGGGTACTGAAACTAATCAGTTTGCATTATTTTTTTATATTTTTCCTTTGACCCTATGTCTACATAATTCTCTAAGATCTTGACTTTTTTTTGTTTATTTATTTACTTTTTTTTTATTTATGTATTTGTGGAACTTGTAAGGCCCTAAATACACCTTGGGGGATTTCTGACTTTTTTTTCCGTCTAAAGTCAGTGGCGCTCTTAACCCGCCCCTACTCTCCGAATTTTCTGAGCTAGGGCATAAATTTGTTCGCGACTAGACCCCTGCAAATTCCATAAATATTTATTTTTCTTAATCGCTAACTTAATAATATTTTTTTCTTCTTCGTATTTTTTTTACTTCTTTTCTAAATTTTTTTTTTCTTTTTTTTTAATTTAAAAGAGCCGAGCTAAGGCCAAAACGCGTGACAATGTATGTCATAAAATGCTTAGTTTCGGAGATACAGTGTCTAGAAGTTCCATTTTTATTTCGATTTTTTCCAAATAATTTCTGAAATAACGTCTATATTGATAAATATCGAGATAAATATTTATAACTTTATATAAATTATTTAAATATTTTCATTATTGACGAATACGAACTTTGTTTAGCAATTTTAAACCCCTTTTCTCATTTTCGGAAACAATTGACACCATCTATTCGACTTTGACTTGTTTTAATCGCAAGTCATCATCACCACAAACAATTCCATTTTCGTAATAAATCTATACGTACCTAAAGTGACACATACATATGGGATAGATAGATCGTAGCTAGCTGTGCATCAGTGAAAAAACACAATCGGCCGGCCAAGCCTACTGGACCGTCATTTCTGAATCGCAGCCAGCTCGATCATAATGAATTAAAAAAAAAAAGAATGTTTATGGCCTGTTTCCGCCCGTTTTTAACTAGATAGACGAACGACAGTCAGCGGCTGTGTGGCTTCAAGCATGATCAAACAGGTTAACTAGTTTTATTTAATCTTCTAAAATAGGATATGTGGACGGGTTATTGTTCATAGGGGAGTCGCTCTTCGGGTTGGTTTGACATCGAAACTATAGTTGTGGTCGAAATTGAATTTGGCGAATGTTAAATGGAAATACATGATTGGTTTTAAATATTGTATAGAGACTAAATAATAAGGTGGTTATTTGTTAATAATACAAATACCACAAACAGTTTGGATTGTTGTGCATTTTACAGGGTTTCTCGTTTTTGAGTAGATGATATATATGCTACCCTAGATCATACAGGGTGAGTTTCCTACGATGTTTTGTGGGGTCATAAATATGCGTCTTTCAGATTTTTTAAAAAGTTCATGGCTTACTAGATATTTTGAAAATAACAAATTTTGGCTATTTTAAAAATTGTCCCTAGTTCCATTATAATCTATTTTAGACAAAACGTTTTCAGATAAAAGTTGTAGATAATCACATCCCTAATGAGTTTGTGTTTTCCTATTTTTTCTAAAGCCTGTCATTTTTGACATCTGACACAAACTTATGTTTTTTTTGAAACAGAAACCATAGTTGGCCATGACTTCACAAAAAGCTTTTGAGAAAAGATGTTTGAAGTTTTATTTTTTTATTAAAAATGTATTTATTTAAAGGTGCTGCAGTTAATTAATAACACAGTAAGTAATTAATATAATATAAATATGTACAACCTAATGCTATAATAACAATAAATAATATTTACATTTTTTTGGGTTATAATTACTATACAATCAATCAAATAAGTGCAAATATTTTTAGGGCTAGATCTGAAGTTTTTCAAATAATTTCTAAATAACCCAGATAATTTACTTTGAAAATTAAAAACATATACAGGGTGGTCCGAATTGTATTCCGGAAACTTCGGCAGCATAAAAATTAGTAAAAAAGTTCGTATAAATGTATGTCCTTAAATGCTTAATTTCGGAGATACAGGATTTAGAAGTTTCATTTTTATTTCGATTTTTTTCAAATAATTTCTGAAGTAACGTCAAAATTTGAATGAAAATTGGTGTCTGGAAGTTTTTTGACATGAGAAATTTTATTTTGATGTCAATATGATTCCTACTTGTAGAGGGCGCCACTTACATATTTTTTAACTGGTTTGAAGACTAATAATTTTTCGTCCGTACCTGTATAAAACGACTGAGTAAAAAATATACATTTACGACGTTTTTTACGTAAAAAAGGTCTTTTGGTAAAAATCGCTACGAGTAATGGTTCTCGAGATATTTGGAGTCAAAATTATCAATACCTGTAATCATTGACATAAATTAAACATGTTGACTAAATAGTTATAAAAAAAAATTGAAATAGTTATCAGACTGAAATCATAAATTTGAAATGTTTTCGTGTCAAAAGTTCAACAGAAACTGTTTTATCATAATTTTTTCGCAGAAAAAGTTATGATTAATTTAAAAAAATAAAAGTTTCCCAAATTTATTATTTCAGTCAAATATTATCTACTTAACGTGTTTATTTTTTTTGTCAATAATGACATGTATTGACTATTTCCATTCTAAATATCTTGAGAACGGTTGCTCGTAACGATTTTTACCAAGAGACATTCTTTGTGTCACTTTTCAAATCACGGAAATGTACATTTTTTCACTCAGTAGTTTTATACAGGTACGGATGAAAAGTTAGAACTCTTCAAACCAGTTAAAACACATGTAGGTGGCGCGGCGCCCCCCACAAATGGGAGTATTATTGACATCAAAATCAAGTTTATCACGTCAAAAAACTTCCAGACACCAATTTTCATCCAAATATTGACGTTACTTCAGAAATTATTTGGAAAAAATCGAAATAAAAATGAAACTTCTACACCATGTATCTCCGAAACTAAGTATTTTAGGACATACATTTATACGAACTTTTTTACTTATTTTTATCTGCTGAATATCCTGCCGAAGTTTCCAGAACACAGTTCGGACGACCCTGTATATATTTTTCGCTTCAATTTTGAGAACCATTTTATCCTTTCTGAGTTTTATTTCTTGTAAATTTAATCTACTACATATGTTGCTATATTATACATATTTATTAAGATATTAGGTATGTCTTTTAACTAAATAGGCGTGTTTTTGGGGTGGAAATATACTACACCTAAAAATATTTGCACTTATTTAAGACTCAACCTATGGTACGTGGCCTTAAACAAAAAAATGGAGGGTACCATACTTTTGAATATATTTTAAACATTGTTTAGATTCATAATTATTGTTTTGTATGAAGTGATATAATCTTAATGTAATATCACCAACGATTTCATAATGCTCAGTGTCCCGAGGGTATGTATGCAAATTTCCATATATCACATATGCATGCTGAAGCATGAAATCTAAAAAATAAAGAATAAAATTAGACAACTTTTAATAAAGTGCTACTTTTCATCAATAATAGTGACTTCTCATCACTAATTAACCGTAGTACAACTAGTGATGGGCAAATCTGTTATTTTTAGATAACAGTTTTAACAACTGTTATAGTTATTTATAAAAAACAGCTTAAAATAACAGCTTAAAAATAACAGGTTTCTTTATTTTATTGCTAAATATCTGAAAGAGTATGAGGCGGTCACCGCCAGGTGTATTAACGCAGTTGCAAGTTGAAACAATGACGTGCTCGGTGGTAGTATTTCCAGGGTGTAAAAACATTTCTAAATATCGATTGTTATCTAAAATAATTTTCAAAAATCGATGGTTGTTTACAAATAAGCACTGTTTACAAATTGCGATATAAAAAAAGCCAAAATTCCACCACTCGTCTATACCTATATATTCCGATTTACCTACGCCCTGCCCCTCGATCCGCGTAGATCCTGAATTGCGTAGCAGTGTACAGGGTGCATCTCACTCGACTGGCGAGAAGCTCTTAGTTATGATTTTACCATTTGCGGTCAAAAAATAGCAATATAAGAAAATGTTTAGTATATTCTTCATAAGTAAACCAACTACACACTAGAGTTCGAATTAATTTTACACTTAAACTAGCGTGTACCCGCGACTTCGTTCGCGTCGAATTAATAATTTGTAATGGTGATGATAAAGCAAAGCAGGAATTTCCATTAACATACAAATTGGATGAAATTTACGCACATTTGCCAAAAATAAGCTTTAAACGTCGAGCAGTTTAAGCAGAATCGTGGTTAATCAATTACTCAACTTTTTGGAACACCCTGTATGATTTAAAAAAAAAATCAAAATATGTAAAAAAACAAAATGAATTATGCGTGTCCAAGCGTTTTCTCGAAAGACTAACCGTTTTTTAAATAACAAATATTGTAATCAGGGGCGTTTTCACCCTTTTGGAATTCGAGATTCGAGAAACCCCTCCTTATCGAACCTCTACACCCCACAGTCAATCCGTTTGCCAATAATCAGCTTTAAACGTCAAGCAGTTTAAGCAGAATCGTGATTACTCAATGCTCATATTTTATGAAACACCCTGTATATATTTTTAAAAATCCTAAAATATGTAAACCAACAAAATAAAATTACGTGTTAAAGAGTTTTTCCGAAAAACTCACCGGTTTTTAAATAAAAAAATATTCTAATATTTGAGGGTGGTTTCACCCCCGTTTCGAAAAATCCCTTCTTATCGAACCTCTACATCCTAAAGTCAATCCGTTTTCCTAAAAAAATCAGCTTTTTACGTCACGGGCTTTAAGCAAGATCGTGATTAATCAATGACCAGATTTTTCAAAACACTCTGTATACATTTTTAAAAAATCTTAAAATATTATTCTGAAAAATTTTCAGAATAAATAAATACCTAAATATTGAAACTTAATAACGTACTGAAACATACAGCGCCATAATATCTCGATCTCCGCCCGTTATGCTCGTAACAGGTTGAAAAACAATGTATCTAAAACAACTGATGCGTTATTCTCCAACCTGTTTCGAACCTCCATCGACAATCGACCGATGCAGCAGCGTTACTTTCCCACTCCGATTATCTCGACCGCCGCTCTGTTATGCATGCTCGTAACAGGTTAGAAAACAACGTATCTAAAATGACTGCTTATTTTCTATACGTTATTCTCCAACCCGTTGCGAGCCTCCATCGACAATGGACCGATGCAGCAGCGTTCCTTTCCCACTCCTGTTATCTCGACCGCCAGGCGTTATGCCCGCAACTGTTTCAAAAAAGCTGCTTCTTTTATATCCTATTATTTTTAAGCTGTTGCAAGCCCAACACGGCCATCGACGGCATCGACCGATGCAGCTACGTTCGCCGGGCCGCGCTGTAGCGCATACCCCACTCCGTTGTCCGTTGTATCGCCGCCTGTATCGATGGTTCTCGAAATAACATGTTGTCCATCCATACTTCCATACTAGTTGTTTTTTGGAATTGCTTCGAGTAGCATCGAATTTCGTGGCGGTGCAGTGCGCCGACTTCGTTTCACGAACGGTCGATCTCTGCGTGCCCTTATTTTATATCTGTTATTTTTTAAAAGTAGTAGCGGTTACGTTATGTTATTTCTAAATAATTGTTATAAGATAACAGATAGTTAAATAACAACCCATCACTAAGTACAACCGTAAACAACAGTAAATTTAATATATAAGTTTGAAAATGTTTAACCAATTTTGTTTATAGTTGTACAAAGATTATTATTACCTGTAAAACATCATTAATGGCAAACACATATGACCAACTATTGACCATAATTCTTTAGTATAAAACTCCTGTCTATATTGATCCAGTCCATGGGATTTAACTTCAAAAGTTTGCATGAGCCACATAGCAATGTTGCAAATAATCAAGAACGTCACCATTTCTCTGCCTGGTTTCTGTTTTCTCAGTTCTTTGGTGTTGCTCGACCTTGCCATTCCGTCAATTATGAATGGAGTTTGAATTAAAATTTGAACAATCTAACAAAAGATTATTATTGTAAATACAGGGTGGCGCCGCTCATACAGCGCGGAGCCTCCAAGGAGAACGGTAGTTTATATCGAAATGAAAATTTGTGAGCAAATGTAGGTTAATTGAAAGCAAAAAAAGTTACACATCAAAGTTGTGTTTTTTGTAATGGAACACCCTATGTATTAATTGATTTTCGGATTCTAGGAAAAAAATAAATGTAAGTTTTATTAAAGAAGCATATGCCTAAACTGTAAAAATTTTGAATTTTACATTTTGTGAAAATGAAGAGTAAATTTTAAATTTCAATAAAATCTACCTAAATCTTAATTTACCCTGTATAGCCTGATATTTAATTACAATAACTATTGTATATTAAACCAAATCAAAATTTGACCCGAAAAGTTATACGGGGTGAGACAAAATTAATATGGAACATTGGTCACTTTTGAAAGCAAGTTACTCTTTTATTTTAAATGGAACACCCAGTATTTTATTTCGGGTTTCAAGGCGGAATTCATATATCTTCAAAATATTATTAAAGTTGCCTACCACTCAGACAAAGATTCTCCTAGATATTTTAATTTTTATAATTTTGCCTCAGTAGATCTATATTATTTGAAAAACTTTGGGGGTGGCTGTGATATACCTTTTGTTAATTCAACAAAAATTAAAGGATTTAGAGTAAAATACTTAACGATAATAAAAAGATACACGTTTAAAACATATTTTAATTATTACAGAACTAAAACTAGATATAAACCTATATTATGTGACAAAAATTAACTAGATGAAATGAAATGCTCAAAATGCTGCCTTTCCTGTTACCTGCATAAAATGATTCTGTTTTTACAAGATCTTTTCATTTTAAAAGGCATATGTGGAGTTCTACTTCAAAAAGCAGCTACAATAATTATTTATCTCATGTTGTCGACCATAGTTTGTCAAGTTTTGTAAACTCAGCAGTGTTTAACATATACTCATAAAAAAACAGACTAGATAAAATCAGTAACAACTGTTACTCAATTAATAGAATGCATAACTAAGCATTCTATTAATTGGTGAATGCACACTGCATTCACTAATAGAATATGAATTCTCTCTGATGTAGCACAATTTTGAATTTTCGGAAAATTTCTGAGTATTTTTTTTCTTTTAACTGACACAAAATGATAACTCGTTGTTAAAGTTGGACTAATTAGACAGTTATGTTGAAGTAACGTCAGACACCTAGATTTTATCAAATAATAAAGATCTACTCAGATCAAATCATGCAAAGGAAATATCTAGGAAAATCTTTAATAGTATTTTGAAAAACCTTAATAGTATTTTGAAGAGGTATTAACTCCCCATTATATATTGCAATATTATACTTGGGGTTCCATTTAAAATAAGAGAGTGACTTGCCTTTAGATGTGACTAATGTTCAATATTAATTTTGTCTCACCCTGTATAACTTTATGGGTCAAGTTCTAATTTGATTTAAAGTACAATAGTTATTTTAACTACATATTAGAATTCCAATTTAGGTAGCTTTTATTGTAATTTAAAAATTGATCTTTATTTTTAGAAAATGCTAAATATGTCAAAAACCTTTGATTTTGACCCTTTATTTTTCTCTCTGAATCCGAAATTAATTAATATATAGGGAGTTCCATTACAAAAAACACAACTTTGATATGTAATTTTTTTTGGGGACATCCTATAGAACTCTGTATATTTTTAAAAAGTGCTCTGAATTAACCTACATAATATGCACACAAAATTTCATTTCAATACAAACTGTCGTTCTCCTTGGAGCCTCCGCCATCCTGTATAGTGTCACAGATAAAATCCGCATCATAATGAAACTTATTTTTATTTATTGAAAGGCCAAAGTCAAATTTGAACTAAATTAATAAATAAAAAAGAATATACTAATAAAAATGCAAAATATTTACCTCAAAAACTATAGTTATAACAGCTAAAACATTTCCAGAAGTGACAGCTGGTATAATACTAAAAATACCATGGACAAAGAACGCTGGTAAGCACATAAGAAGTAAGAAATTGTCCATGCTGTTATGAGCAACTTTATTTACATCTAGTTTTGCCATTTGACTGTATGCGTATATTGCACCGACTATCATCAAAAATATTATTACAATCTTTGTCGAATTGTTGATAATTCTGCCATTTTCTGCCATGTCTACTGATCTACAAAATTAAGAACTAAATAAAAAAATACAAGGTCTCAAATCCCAATGTTTTAAATTAACAAAAAAACATTATCAAAAAACATTTTAAGACTTTTCGTATAAACCACTAATTTTTGAATAAAAATATTAAAGAAGCTCATACCAACAAACTGAAGTGAAAGACCCTGTTCATCAGTGCCGTTCGAATTTTATTTAAAACGTGTAGAGTAGACTCAATAATTAGTTGGTTTTTGTTTGCCAGTACAATTTATTATAGTTATTAAAATTGTCAAAACATATATCTCTAATAAAAATAGATAAATTATAAGAATTATTTTTTATTATTAACCAAAGCATGTATTGACATGAATCAAAAAACAAAATGCTCAGGAGTTATGGTTCTGACCGTAAAATTATATTTTTGGAGAATTTACAGACGAAATTATTGCACGGGGTGTTTTAAAATTCACGCTGTGCTTCGCTGACGATCAAGTTGAAATTGCTTAAGATCACGACGACCTAAGATATACGACAGAAAAACTAATCGAAGAATGGGGCCCTAGAAATGAATATTAAAAAAACAGAGTGTATGTGTATCGGAGGAACACCAGATGATATAATTTTAGAAAATGGCGATCAAATTAAAAATTGCGGAGAATGTAAATATTTAAGTTTAAAAATCACTGGAGTCTTTGATACAGCAATCAAAGATCGAAATTCACAAGGTAGAAACGCTATATCCATGATGAATGGAGTTCTATGGGACCAAAATATAAAAAGTCAAATAAAAGTCTAATTTATAATACTGTAGTAAAAAGTATAGTTCTGTGGTTATTTGCCAAAAGCTGATATGTCGATTTTCATCATTTTGCATGTATGTATAACATAACAGGTTTCGCCCAAAACTGAAACAGAGTTAAAACAGATATCAAGTAATGACCACATTATATGCATGTTTATTTTTGAATATTGAGATATCATGTTTTGCCAAACACAAAATTTGGTCTATTTGACATACCAAGGTGACAAAATCTCAATATTGATGAAAAATGACATATCAGCTTTTGGCAAATAACCACAGAGTTATATACCGGGTGCGCCTCAAAAGTGGCTCACGCCTATAATTTTTTATTTTTTCAGTTATAAAAACGAGATTTGGTATGTTAGTATATGACAAAAATTAGGAGTGATAGACATATTCAATTGTTTTCTGTCACTTCCTGTTTCACCGGAAATGAATACAATTTTTGATTTTTAAATGGCAACCTCGGTATTTTTTACTTTATTCGACAGAAAATCACGCTCTGAATAAAATGACATATCATATGTCAACTTTTGACATTTTTGCATATGGTTTATTTGAAATTATAATTTGCGGTTTGTAACGAAAATTTGACTCGAAATACCAAGTGTGTGGTATCAAATTATTCGTAAAAAATGCTTTTTCCAACTATGCTAATGAGCCACCCTCGTTCCATTTGAAAAAATTGAGATATGTTTAAGAATACGATTTGACCATTTTCTAACTGGCCAGGACAAGACACTAAAAACATTAGACGATCAAATCTATTTTTCCAAGGCTCCTTGACTAAGAATTAGTGTTTTTAACACAGCCATGGCACTCTAGATTGAATTTTGAAATACAATTTTTTATTAAGCGAGAATGTCAAAAGTTGACATATATGTCATTCTATTCAGAATGTCAATTTCTATCAAATAAAGTACAAAAATACCGAGGGTGCCATTTAAAAATCAAAAGTTGTAGTCATTTCCGGTGAAACAGGAAGTGACCAAAAACAATTGAATACGTAAATCAATCCTAATTTATGTCATATACTAATATATCAAATCTCGTTTTTTTATCTCAAAAAATAAAAAAGGTATAGGTGTGAGCCTTTTTGAGACGCACCCGGTATAGTAGCGAAGTATGGTTAGGTTAGGTTAGGTTAGGAATGTTATGTTCTATCGAATAAAGTAAAAAAATACCGAGGGTGCCATTTAAAAATCAAAAGTTGTAGTCATTTCCGGTGAAACAAGCAGTGACCAAAAACAATTGAATACGTAAATCAATCCTAATTTATGTCATATATTAATATACCAAATCTCGTTTTTTTTATCTCAAAAAATAAAAAAGTTATAGGTGTGAGCCACTTTTGAGACTCACCCGGTATAGTAGCGAAGTATGGTCTATAAAACAGAGCACCGAAACAACAACAACAACAGAAATGGATTTCTGGAGAAGAGCCGCCGGAACATCAAGAAGAGATATGGTAAAGAACGAAAGAATACGGGAGATAATAGGAGCAAAATCTACTGTTGTTGATGATATCAAAACCAAACAGTCGATACGGTACGGGCATGTACAAAGGATGTCAGACAACAGGCTTCCAAAACAAGTGCTGAAACGGATACCACATCGTAGAAGAGGAAGAGGAAGACCAAGAACAAGCTGGAGAGAAGGAATAAGGAAGGTAATGGACCAAAGACATCTTGATGATAACATGTGGCAAGATAGAGAAGAGTGGCGGTTAGGAATCGCAAATTGTCGTAGAACGTTGTAAACCGAATGTATATACAATATGTTTTAAAGTTAGGGTAAAAACAACCCCTCGATTAACCCTGTATAAAATGTCAAATACCTACTAAAGTTTATAAAAAGCTGAGTTTACGAATTAAATTTACGCTGCGCAACTAAACTATGGTAATCGCAAAACATTTTCCGATGCACGTCATCAATCATATCGACATTGACACTAAAGTCTATAAACCTGACTAAATGAAATTTTGGCAAAAATGTGTTTAAATTTGTTCTATAATTTAAGATACCAAGCAGTTCTTTATTTGACTTTATAGAGCAAATGATTGTAACAGATATTTTATTTAGATTAAAGCTGCAAAAATTAGTTTAAACCGAATTTTATTACCGCTACGTTAAATTCTGTGATTATTAGTTAGTGCATTAATAGCACTTGTTATTACCACTTATGGCATTGTAAGATGTACATCAATAAATAAATAAATAACCCATAATAACGCTTAGAATAATCTTCACAATGGACAATTTTTTGCTAATATGTAATAAGTAAAATAAGCTATAAAACAAATAAATAAATTACTAAAATACTAGTTATTAAAAAATAAATCGTAAAAATCTTTTTATTTAAAAAATGATATTGTTTGTCGCTTTTAAATTAAGATTCATCTCATAAATCCATCACAATCTGGCAGCGCTGTCGCCATCGCTTGTCACTCACTTGCATCGGAAATTGTTTTCCGATTACCATATGTGACAGGTTTTTCTAGAATTCACAGTAATACTACTGGGAATTTAAGTTCTGACACAGTATCCTTCTGGATTTGCTAATTTCAAATAAAACTAATTATAGAATAAATAATAAATAACATAAAATAAGTGCAGAAAAGGATGAAAAATCTCCGTCTCGAAAACACGAATGCATGGATAGCAATACATTCCTTCCTTAATCTTTTTATTCAAAGCCATTACTGTTATATTATCTAGCTGCACTTACTCATTATAATAAGTGATGAAGAACAAAATAACACTGACGATGGAAAATACCAATATTATGAATCCACCAAACAGTCCTTTGTTGGCAGCATGACAATCGGCATGAATAGTGACATTACTTTCTGCTTCAACAGGTTTATAATTTTTGCATTCTCTAGGATCATCACCATGGTAATTTTCTTCGTCGGTTGGATTAGAGGGGGAACATAGGCCTATGTTCATCCAGAGAATATACAAAATCCCAACTAAAACAAAAAATTAATAGAAAATAGTTATTAATGACACGAGTCCTAAAAATAATTCAATATAAAAGAGACTCGTTTATATTGTGATTTACCTACAACCGTTTAGTTATAACGTTTTTACATCACTATTTTTTTAGTATTTCAGTTACGTTATGAGATTCATAACACAACGGCGGTGTTATGAATCTATAACACAACTACTTTTTATAATAATGAAAAACAACTACGAACATCTAAATATATTAATTTTTGATACAAATTCCTACTACTAATTATTATAAATATTAATAACACACTTTTTCTTCAAAACAATTCTAATTTTTAAAATTATTTTTCTGGGCAAAATGTGCTCGCGTTTACTTGACAGGGCAAACTGACTTTTCAGAAAAAAATGTGACAAATGTCATAGTTAAAGGTGTTAAAGGTGGGCGACTAATAAACGAAAATTAAAACAGCATTTTCTTATTTTTCGGTTGTAGATAAAACTTTGTACATGACACGTGCGTTTAAACATGATTACAACACTCGTGTGATTAGAACGTTCACACTCGTTCTAATCGTTCACACTCGTTGTTGTAATCATGTTCATAAACACACTTGTACTGTAAATAACTATTACCTTTGCTGACAAATAAAATCAAATAATCACAAATTTTTGCTCAATGGAAAGTGATTTCCATTACTGCCCTGGCAGTATTTCATTACTAATCAGTAATGAAATACTTCCCGACTCGGTAGGTATGTAAAATATGATTTACTCATGGAGTTGCTTTGAAATTATTGTGAATTATTTAAAAGCTTTTATACAAAGAGGCTTTATAGAAAAAAATACTAAACAAAAACCGAACTTCTGAAGTTTTTATATTTCCTTATATTTTCATTTTATTATACAGGGTGTTTCAAAAACGTGCAATGTGCCATCTCTCGTGGGGAGATTCTTCACATAAAAATAAAATTTTTCATATCAACATGGGTCCGATTCTGCTTTGTTTCGAAGCTACAGGGTGCTAATTTTTTTTCGATTTATATTTCGATATAATTTTTGTGCCAATTGCTTTTAGCGATTCGAATAAAATTTTGAAGGTAATGACTGCAATATATTTTAATAATAAAAAAAGAGTCGACGAATTCACCAGGGACGTGCATATGAGTAGTCATTTGATATTTTCCAAAAAAAAAACATGTACGCCACTGAGTTTTTTTCATCTTCTTAGCAAAAGTATGTGAGACATCGTTGAATTGAGCCGATTGATTGAAAGTTGTATTTGATATATTGTCTATTTCGATCTTCTCGATGTTATTAATCATAATTAATAAAATTAATATAAAAATAATAAATTATTGATTTAATGCAATTTATTACCAAATTTTATTAAAATTTAGATATGCAGTGCTACCTACAGCAAATCACCTAAAAAGTAATGATATTTAAGATAATTACAGAAAGCCTATTTTCGAAAGTTTTAATATTCTGCTACTTTAAAACTATGCATTTCCACACCCATGCTTACAGGAACTTTTTTTTTATATTTTCTGATGATGAATGAATGAGTTGACTTTTTGGCAATTTAACATTTTGGCAACTTAATGACGTTAATTTTTTTAAAGGCTGCTATTAGAATTGGATTAATGAAAATTAATTAAATTGCGTTTATCTCATCAAGGAGACCAAAATCGATAAAATATCAAGAGACAACTTTTAATCAGCATTTAATTTTGCTAACAAAAGAAGAGAAAGTCAGTGACGCACATATTTTTATATCCATATACACGTCCCTGGTAAATATGTTGAAACTTTTTTAGCATTAAAATATGTCGCACTTATAGTAACTTTTACCCTCAAAATTTCATTCGGGTCGCTAAAAACACTTGGAAGAAAATTATAATAAATCGAAACAAGATGAAGATTTTAACCCCCTGCGAAACAAAGCAGAATATAAAATGTTAATACAAAAAATAAACCTTATTTTTACGAGAGGAATCTCCACACTCTAATTTTAAATATAAGTTATTTATCAATTTTAAAACAAATGCTAAAAGTTCATTACTTTTTTAGATAATACTGAAAGATTGCATTAAAAATGAAACATTTTCTGAAGTTTGTCGAAAAAAAAAACATTTCAAAAATATTAAACTTACCGACCAAAATGCTATACTCAACACTAAAAGGATATAAATATGGCGAATAATTTTGATACAAAACGTTTAGTTCTTCGTGGTCACAAATTCTCGTAAATCTCATTGGTGTAATCACAGCAAGATTGCTGAGTTCTAAAAAATATATTATTACCTTTGTTTCACTGAAAAATTCTGCAATATTTAACCTGTGAGATTTTCACTAATTTCGTAGTATGAATATGTCTCAGTTGATGCACTTTCTGTACTATTATCGTAGCCACTGTATGATCTTTGGTACTCGATGTACTCTGCTGTTTCCCGAAATATCGTCCAAATCCAGAAACATAAGCTCGCTGCCAGACAATGCATGAAACCAAACCTATGAACTGTTATATTTTTGTTTACTATAACCTGAAAAATGAAGCATAAATGTGTAGGTCATAGTGTAAGTCTCCAAAAGAATAATATATCATGGATAATTTAAACGAAGTCAATTGTGAAGATATTCCAGCGAAAAGAGCATTTTTCAATGTTAAAATATTGGATTGACTTAGTGGAATATTTTCACAAATGACTTTATACAGGGTGGCGCCTCCTATACGCCGCGGAGGCTCCAAGGAGAACGGTAGTTTATATCGAAATGAAATTTTGGGAGCGTATGTAGGCTAATTTTTTAAAAATATAGAGAGTTCTTTTTAAAAATATAGAGAGTTCTCCAGGGTGTTCCCAAAAAAGTTACATATCAAAGTTGTTTTTTGTAATTGAATACCCTATATATTAATTGATATTTGGATTCTGGGAGAAAAATAAAGGTAAGTTTTATAAGGGAAGTCTATGACTAAAACTTAAGGTTTTTGATATATTTAACATTTTCTAAAAATAAAGAACAATTTTTAAATTACAATAAAAGCTACCTAAATTGGAATTTACCCGGTATAGATTAATATGTAGTTAAATTAACTATTGTACTTTAAATCAAATTAAAACTTGATCAAAAAAGTTATACAGGGTGAGACAAAATTAATATTAAACATTGGACACTTTTAAAAACATGTTACTCTCTTATTTTAAATGGAACACCTAGTATATTATTCCGATAATCAATGGAGAATTCATGTCTCTTCAAAATACTATTAAGGTTGCCTACCCCTCAAACAAAGATTTTCCTAGATATTTTTATTTACATGATTTGATATGAGTAGATTTTTATTATTTGATAAAATCTGAGTGGCTGTGATATGTGTCTGACGTTACTTCGACATAGCTGTCTAATTAGTCTAACTTTAACAACTAGTTATCATTTTGTGTAAAAAAAAAATTCTCAGAAATTTGCCGAAAATGCAAACTTATCCTACATCAGAGAGAATTGATATAATTCTATTAGTTGGTGAATGCAGTATGTATTCGCCAATTAATAGAATAGTTAAATGCCCCTGATGAGTCTGTTTTTTTATGGGGATATGTTAAAGACAGTGTATACAAAACTCAACCAACTATTGTCGACAACATGAGGGGAATTACTGTAGCTGCATTTCGAGGTAGAACTCCACATATGCCTTTTAAAATAAAAAGATCCTTTTGAAAAGACAATCATTTTATGCAGTTAACAGGAAAGGAAGCATTTTGAGCATTTCATTTCATCTAGCTAATTTTTGTCACATAATTATAGGTTGATATCTAGTTTTAATTCTGTAATAATTAAAATATGTTTTAAACGTGTATCTTTTAATTACCGTTGAGTATTTTACTCTAGAATCTTTAATTTTTGTTAAATTAACAAAAGGTATAAATAAAATAATAAATAATAAAGATCTATATACTGACGCAAAATCATAAAAATGAAAATATCTAGGAAAATCTTTGTCAGAGGTGTAGACAACCTTAATAATATTTTCAAGATATAAATTCCCCATTGAACACCAGAAAAATATACTGGGTGTTCCATTTAAAATAAAGGAGTAACATGCTTTTAAAAGTGACTAATGTTCCATATGAATTTTGTCTCACCCTGTATAACTTTTCGGGTCAAATTTCAATTTGGTTTATCATACAATGGTTACTGTAATTAAATATTAGGCTGTACAAGGTTAACTAAAATTTAGGTAGCTAAACAGGGTTGTTCACCACATACGACACGGAGTATGGTAGCTAAACGATTAGATTTTTACAAATCGTAAGTTTTGGGTTCATTGAAGGACTATTAGAGCTACAGTTTAAAAATATTTTTACAAGATACAGAGTGTCCCAAATAAATAAAAAAATTCAAAGTTATTACATTTTTAGTTTCTACGATTAAAATAAAGGTAAATTTGATTAAGGTTTATTACACTTAAATCTTACCGTTTTTGAAATATTTTCAATTTTGTGAAATTGCAGTCTAAATTTTAAGGCTTCATTTCTCCGAGGGTATCAAAGTTTTTAATACTAAATATTTACTGAAGTTTATTTATTGTCAGTTATTGTGTTCCAATAATAAAAATTATACTACCTTATACAGAGTGTCTAAAAATTTATTTTAAATAATTACTAGCTTTAAACGGCAATAACTTGTTTAATTTAAAAGGAACACCCTGTATATTTTATGAGAATCAAATGCACAATTTAATTGTCTATCAAATTGTATTATACCACTTTTTACCTATCCCTTCAAGTTTTCGTAGAAAATGCATTTTCTTATAATTTAGACCTCATTTATCAACATACCCATGGAATATTGACATTTTATTAGACTGTTTTTAAAACAACAAATGTACAAAATGTACAGGCTAGTAATATTATCGCTTTAGTAAAACCACAGCTTACAGAATAACATAGCTTTGACACTCGCCAATTTTTCCCACGCTCGAATTTAAAACGCCCCACTCCGACGATGCGCTAACTGAATTAAGCGACCGACAGTCAGCCTCATTCTGTCGATGCATAGCCTCCACCGGTGGCGCGTAGGGCCGTATTACGGAAGATTTTAATTCGATTTTTTTTCTTATATTCAACCATAGGTATTTGTGCTTTTATTTCAATTTTATTTTTATTGATGGAATGGGAAAAGGTTTTCCGGGATGTGCGGCTGCTGGTTGCACAAATAATTATGGAAATAATTCAAAATATAGTCTGTTTAATTTTCAATTCAAAATTAATGTTCAATTTAAAAGTATATTCATACTTTAGAGCTTTTCAAAACGATGAAGACTACTTATTTGGAGGCTTGCTAATACCAAGTGACCATTTTTTTATTTAGTTTCCTCATTGGAGGTTATTTTTATAAGCTTTTATTTAACTTGCTTTGTATGTAACTATCTATGTATGTATGTATGTTTGTTCGGGGCAAATCTTGTAAGCTAAATTAAAACCACTTCCTTTTATTGTAAGAGATTGAAATTTGCATGTAGGTTCAGTCCCGATGACAATACATTTTTTTGCAAGGCATGACCCGAATTTTTGACAGCTGTCAAAATGGCGGCATTTGAGGTTTTTGATTTTTTAAAAATTCTATTTTTATTTATATATATATATATATATATATATATATATATATATATATATATATATATATATATATATATATATATATATATGAGCATATATATATATATATATAGGTATATATATATATATATATATATATATATATATATATATATATATATATATATATATATATATATATATATATATATATATATATATATATATATATATATACAGGTTGTTAACTCGACAGTTACTTATAGGGAAACAGAATGGCAACACTGCCTATTGAGAACGTATGCATTATTGATTTTTCTGCCGACTCGTCCCGTCGCGTCGTCTATCGACGAGCGGGCCGAGGTTATTTCAACCATAAAACTCTTGCCGCGAGTAATGAACAATTTAACAACCTGTATAGGTATATTGTGGGTATATACATATGAAAAAAAATATATGGGCGGCCATCTTGAAAAAATGACAGTTTAATGACATGTCAAAATTTCAAAGTCAACCGATTTTCATAAAAATTGATATATAGGATGGCCATGGGCTAAAATGAAAGAAAAAAAATTTGAGCTGTCAAATTTGACAGCTGTCAAAAAAATTTCAAAGTTGTCCGATTTTGATAAAAATTGATATATAGGACGGCCATGGGCGAAAATGAAAAAAAAATGTTGAGCTGTCAAATTTGACAGTTGTCAAAAAAATTTCAAAGTTGTCCGATTTTGATAAAAATCGATGATGGCCGTGGGCTAAAATGAAAGAAAAAAATTTTGAGCTGTCAAATGTGACAGCTGTCAAATAATTTCAAATTTGTCCGATTTTGATAAAAATCGATATATTGGATGCCCCCTACCCCATAGTCGGTTTTCATTTTATTTGTCTCACATTTGAACTGTCAAATTTGACAGCTGTCGTTTTTTTTAAGTTCTCCTTTTTTAATGAAAATCGATATACATATTATTAGGATACCCATAGAAAGTTATTTAAGAAAAAAATTGAGTTTAAGTGTGTGGCACTGAGAAACCAGCATAACTAAAAAGTAGAAAATAAATTTTACAAAAAAACCTTTTTTAAAAACAAGCTTTTATTTAAATACACTAAAAAGAATAAAATAAACTCTTTTTCTTTAAAACCTTTATTATGAACTTAGAACGTCATTACACAATTTTAATATTAGATATATAAAAGCTTGTCGCGAGATTTCTCTACATCGATAAACAAGTAAATTAACTAAAACCTGTGTCTACCCTGTCTCATTTTCAAAGTTTGTGTTATGATAGACCACTAGACCAGGAATTACAAGATAAAAGTTGTCGTACCAGATTTTTATGAGTGCAACTGTACACTCAAATCTCGCGACAAGCTTTTATATAATATTAAAATTGTGTAATGACGTTATAAGTTCATAATAAAAGTTTTAAAGAAAACGTTTATTTTATTCTTTTTAGTGTATTTAAATAAAAACTTGTTTTTAAAAAAGTTTTTTTATAAAATTTTTCAGAACAATTTTGAAGAACTTTCCTTAAATGAAAATATACTATGTAAATTCGTTAAATTATTTCAGACAATTAAATTCAACCATCAATCAAAATTTTCCTATGATGTATTTTTTGTTAAAATTATACGCAAAAGTTAGAATTTATTATACTATTTCTACTATTTCTAGAAATAAATTAATTAATTTGTTTTTTAAATGTTTTTCTTTGAGAATGCATATTTATTTAAAGTCAACAATTTAAAAAACGTGTATCTAAATTATGTTCTAGCACCAGTCGAATAATTTTTTACGTCACGTGTAAAATTTTTTTGAATACATCTCTGGGCTGACTGGCGCTTACGCGGCTATTGGTTTTGGCGAGAGAGCTCGCCGCTCCAGTGTTCCCCCTCTTTCGAATCGCAAATCCGAGCGTAAAAAGATCAAAGCGGCACGCTACACCGTCCGA